CAAACAAAAATAGATAAAATTGATGAGTGGGACATACTAAAAATTAAAAACTTATGTACATCAAAAGACTTCACCAGAAGAGTGAAAAGGGAACCCACAGAATGGGAAAAAATATTTTGCAATGACATATCAGACAAGGGACTCATTTCTAAAATATACAGGAAACTACAACACCTCTACACGAAAAAGACAAGTAACCCAATTAAAAAGTGGGCACAGGATATGAACAGATACTTCACTAAGGAAGAGATCTGGGCAGCCAACAAACATATGAAGAAATGCTCATGATCACTAGCCATTAGAGAGATGCAAATCAAAACAACGAGTTATCATCTCACACCAACAATAACAGTAAAGATGAAAAATGTAGAGGACAATAAATGCTGGCGGGGATGTGGAGAGACTGGGATACTCCTGCATTGCTGGTGGGACTGCAAAATGGTCCAACCTCTCTAGAAAGCATTATGGTGTTTCCTCTACTTGGTATTTACCCACAAGAAAAACAAGCCACAACATAAGATATATGCACACCAATGTTTATAGCAGCAGTATTTACAATAGCAAAAAGATGGAGTCAGCCAAAGTGCCCATCAACTGAAGAATGGATAAACAAATTGTGGTACATACACACAATGGAGTATTATGTTACCTTGAAGAATAACAAGGAAGCGGTAAGCCACCGCATAACATGGATGAACCTTGAGGACATTATGCTGAGTGAAATGTCAGTCACAAAAAGATAAATACTGCATAGGACCACTACTGTAAAAGACTAAGAAAAAGAAACCATACAAAGGGGAATAGGGGGAAGTCTTTGTTGGTTGCTGGGAAGTGGTGATGGGTTGGGGGAAGGGGGAGGAGGGTGGAGGGCAGGGTGGGGAATGGACACAGGAGAGCTTGGGTGCTGGGATGGGGGGCAATATGCAGGGAGGGAGAGGGAAGTGGAGGAATGGGCCAGATGGGAGAACAATTGGGCATGTTTGAATGGGTTAAGTGGGACAGAGATAGAGGATGATATATGCACAGCCTTGGAACTGCAGAGCTCTGGGGTACAGGGATTGAGTCATGGTTGGAAGAGGGGAGAGGGGGGAAATAGTGTTAAGATGCTTGGCTGTTTTTGAATCTTGGTTTTCCTTGCATTATAATATAGAGTAGACACTGGAGGAGGAGAGAAAGGAATAGTCAGAAACATCACCATAGAAGGCTTTTAAGTCCATCTTCTGCCTATAACTGATTGGAATACCTAAAATGGGGCTACAGCGTACCCAGTGAAGGAGGCTTCCTGCGGAGCCTTTGCAGTACATAAGACTATAGGTAGAAACCTGAACCACATCCAGATCTCCAGAGATGAGAATTTTCCACCTGAAAGGACGAGCAGACCAGCCTGGAGAGGCTAGAAGAACAGAAGATACATCTTGAAAAAAGACCTACCGGAAAAATACAAAACAATAGAGGCAGATGGACTGTCACTACAAGAACAAATTGCTTCCCCAGGAAATATCAAGGCAAGTGGTCGGATCCCCTCAATGCAAACCCCCCTCCAAGACTAAGACTCAATGGAAATACACGCTCTGACCGGTGATCACACGCATCACCGATAGGGGGATGTGGGGTAAAAGCAACAATGAATCGGCAAGCTAAGCCCTGCAATGCTCGGTGGGCTTCTGTGGACTCAGATGGGGACCTGGTTGGCCAGCAATGTGAGGAAACCTGGGGACTCTTGAGCCCAGAGTCAGTGATGTGGCCACAGAGGACTCAAGTGGAGAGTGGGGCTACCGGCTGATGGGAAGAGAAGGCAGGTGCACAAGAACACCCACACTTGTAATGGTACCCACATGACCTGGCCCAGATGACTGGATGATCAGAGCTCAACCAGGAGAAGAAAGAGAAAAAAAAGAGGGATCCGATACAATTTGATGAACTTGACCTACACCTACGGATGTAGTGACTCAAGAGGGAACAAATCCTTACAGCAAGAAACATTCCCACCCCCTCCACAGAGTAGACAGAGATGGGCAACTTGGACATTGGATACCCAAATGGTGGGGGGGAGGACTACAAAGGCAAGAAGTGACTGGCTTACAAGCTTTCAAGAGGGAACCTAGAGCTAGGGGGCATGGAGGAAAGCAGAATCTCCAGTGAGAGCTATCCAATGTTTAGGCGGAGTTGAAGAAATGAAATGCAGATGGGCCACTTGTGATACTATAGTGAATAATTTTATCAGGACTGATTGTGAGGTTTGGAAATGTAAAGGTAGACATTTTGTAGCAAGGAAGGGAGGGATTAATTCTCCAGTCTAGGAGCGGAGGTCTCTAGGACCATCAACTGTGAAGAGCCTAGAGTGGGACCCTACCCAGAGAAGCAGTGATGCCTGAGATAGAGGCAGAGAGGATGATGTGTAGTGGCTGGGGACTTTGGATCCAGAAAGGAGAGGGACTGTGTGCTGAAGACTGGGGGGTGGGGGTGGGGGTGGGGGTGGGAGGGAGTGCAGGGGGAGGGTTTGTAAGGTATACTCTTTGATCAGTTGCTGATGCATGGAGGGGATCGGAACCATGGCTATGAAACGATATATGATGGAATGAATGTAAAACTAAAGTTCTCTCATGTAAACGATCATGTAATTCACACACACACACACAAAATACCCCACGAATTATCACACTATTATCTGGTGTGGGACCGTAGGATACGGACGAAACTGCTACCCTCAAGAACAGCGATTCAAACCCACCAGCCACTTTGGAAACCATAAAGGGTCACTGTATTGGAACTGATTGGGTATCATTTTAATAATTCCTAAACTGATAAAAAAAATTTTTTTTAAATGAACCAAAGACTAATCTATGCTCTTAATCAAACAATCACTAACATTTTCTAGTTGTTGTTAGTTACTGATATTAAGAAATGTAACGCTGGATGGTCAATTGCCTTTTGACTAACTTAACCGCTTATTCTAGCTTGTTTTACAAACGTGTATGAGGTCAGAGTAGGCCTGCTGGATGGAGTGTATTACTGGCCCACCAAGGAACAGCAGAGCCACAGCACACTTACTAGAAAGTAGCTGCAGTTTTCAAAAAGCAGCAGTAATCTTCAACAAAGGGCAAAGTCCGCACACTTGGGTGCCAGTGGTGGTGGTGTGCCCTGGAGTTGGTTCTGAATCATAGCGACCCTGTAGTTTCCAAGGCTGTAAATCTTTACAGGAGCAGAAAGCCTCAGCTTTCTCCCATGGAACCACTGCTAGTTTTGAACTGCTGTCCTTGAGGTTAGCAGCCCGATAACCACTATGCTAAAAAGGGTTACTAATTCTAATATGCCCTTCCCATACCCACTCCCCTTTCATTGCGATGAAGAGCTACATGACTGCCAATTCATTGAAAGAAATATCTCAAAAGTTAATTACAAAAAAATAAAACTGATTCTCACACTCACTATCTCCATAAGGTGGATTCAGCTCTGGGGAAATAAATATCCACAATTCCAGATGAAGGAAATCAGAGATACCACCCCATTTTTGAAAGTTTCTCAGAAAAGATCTCACCATTGACTCTGAATACTAAAGTAATCCAAGTAGAAACCTACTTCCCCCCAGCCCCCCACCCTCAAGCGGGATAAAATGCCACAAAGGCGAGCCAGAGCTGGGACAAAGTTCTCAGGGCAACTAACATCTCATTCAAGATTCTTCCCCACAGATTACATGCAACAATGCTAGGATCAGAGAACGCTAGGGTTCCCAAGACTATTTTCCAGGAGCAGACAGCCTTATGTTTCTCTTCAGTGACTGGTGGGCTCGAACTGCTGACCACAAGATTAAAAGCCCAAGGAACATTCCACTCTCTCTCAAGGGCTCCTTTACAAATTACACAGTAGGAGATCCCACAGCCAATTCTCATGGGCAAAAGAATGGGCAACTGTGTTGTGGGAAAAGGGCGCCTGGCTATCCCTGTTTCTGTCAATGCAATGAACACCTCCCAGAAGGACCTGAGGCTGACCACCTCATTTTACATCATCCTAACCATGAGCTTGGGTAAGATCTGTGACCCCGATACAAAGATGTTATCAAATATTTAGGCAATAAATGAGTCAATCATAGATTTAACACACGTCTTGTACACTAGTCTGTAATGTTTAATTAGATTTAAATACCAAAGACAAGGTACCTTTCAAGTCTGACTGAGCTTAACAATGCTTAAAAATGGTTTTATTAGGTGAATACTTGAAAGTATTCAACATTTAACTCAATTTAATCCACAATGTCTGCAAATACATTATTAGAAGTATAACCAACTTGAAGTATAGAAGGCCCGTTCTCCAGAAACTCTTCTATGGTGACATGAAGACTGAAAGAAGCCTGTGACAAGAGTCCAAGTCTCTAACCAACAATGACCACATCATCACTGGTGAACTCATATGAGGGAACTTCAAGGTTGAGAGGTGCAGGCCCCTTCCTGATCCGGCCAGACGCATCATAGTGTGACCCATGGCAAGGGCAGTAATAACCACCGAAATCTCCTGCATTTGCAATGGGTACACAACCAAGATGAGTGCAAACGCCTATCAAGATAACCCATTCAGGTTTCTTTACTCGTTCTAAATCATGCTGTGGGTCCCTCAACTGGGATATTTCCACTGCAGCTTCCTGCTCAATCTCCTTCTTGGTTCTATGACGCACAAACAGCGGTTTGCCTCTCCATTTGAAGGCCATGTTCTTGCCTTCTGGAATATCAGATAACTTGATTTCGATTTTCGACATGGCCAACACATCCGCTGAGGCACTCATGCTGGAAACAAACTGGGAGACGACATTCTTGGCAGCATACGCGGCACCCACAGTAGTTGTTGCAGTTATCAAATAGGAGAAGCCTTTTCTAGCCTCGTTGCTGTCTTTTGAAGACTTTGTACTATCTAACACCTCAGCTCGGCGATAGTCAGAAAAGTCAGGCACTTTGATGTCTGTATGGGAGAAACGAACAGAAGCAGGAACTGCAAGACAAAGAGGTTCAAAAACACAATTAGTTAAGTACCCAAGAGGGGTGGTAGTACACACTGGAAAATATGACTTTTATGGATTCTAGTTTGTTAAGTCAAATTCTAAACATGTGAAATAAGGAATTCACTGGTCTCAGAAATTGTCAAATCGGCAGTGAAGCATATAAATTATTAAAACTGACATTTAGTCAACCACTGCTTATTACTCTTATGAAAGCACAGGATACTGTTTGTAAACTGAGCTCCTCCTGACTGAACGCTGCTGACTTATTGTTGTTAAGGGCCATCAAGTCGATTCCGACCCATAGCAACCCTAGATGGGGTTTCCGAGGAACAGCTGGTGAGCCTGAATCACCGACCTTGAAGTTCAAATGGCTTTACAGTCTGGCGCATTAACCCACAGCTCCACACCAGGACTCCAAACAGTACCCTGTGGTTAAGTGCTGTCAAGTCAATTCCAACCCATAGCGACTATGTATAGGGTTTCCAAGGAGCAGCTGGTGAGCCTTGAACCAACGACCTTGCAGTTCAGAGGACTCTGCAGTCTGACACATTCGTCCACAGCACCACAGCACTGTAGACAACAGTATTTCAACATTTTGGAAACCTCAGTCTGCCAAGACATACAATACAATTATGTTGAGTATCTCCCATTCTCCCTGGATTAGAAGGAATCCTAAGATTCATCAGTTATTCTGTGCCATACAGTCAATTCTCACAATGACCCTACCGTTGTTGTGTGCCATCGAGTGGGTTCCAACTCACAGCAACCCTGTACAGGGTTTCCAAGGACCAGCTGGTGAGCTTGAACTGTCAAACCAACCTTGCAGAGTCCAGCACATTAACCCACAGCAGACACAGTGTAACTGCCCTAGTTCCTAGGCTAAAATCTTTGAAAGCAGCTCACCAGCAGAGCAGGTCTTTTCTCTCTTACAGAGGATATTGTTGTTGTTAAGTGATGTCAGGTGGGTTCCGACTCATACCCATTTATAGGAATTCTGAGGGGCAGCTGGTGGCTTTGAACCACCAGCCTTGTGGTTCCCTGTCCTCTGCTGATCTTACAGCACCACACAATGGATGGTGGGTTCAAACTGCTAACCTTTTAATCTGCACAACCAAGCACTTAAATCACTGTACCAAGACTCTTTTAAAACTCATCTTTTCTACCCTGCAAAAGTTGATGTGGGATTGACAGCCTTAAGGCAAATGTCTAATCTTATAATATTCCTATCTGTGAGCTCTTCAACAACAATGCTAAAAAATGTTAAGATACTAATTGCAAAATAAACAGAACTGTGAATACAACATAAATTACTGAATATTTAAGGATTTTCATTCTAGGTTCTGGGATCAAATTAGTATTATTTTAAATTTAGGTAAAACCACTAATGGACAGAAATGGATAATTTCATCAGAACAGGCAGCAACCATCTGAATCAAATGAAATCTGCAAAAGAGCCAATTCTTTTAACTTAATAAGGGTAAAGGAGCACACTTTCCATATGCGCTCCTCTTTAGTGAAGGGTAGGGGCATTCTCTTTTTCATGCAGCATCCCCAGAGAAAAGACCACAAAACATGCCAACTGTTTGTGTCAAATGAATGTTGAAAAAATAAACATGAGAGTGCTTCAAAAAGTTCATGGGCAATTCCAGTTATCTTTTAATCCCATTTCCACAAATGTTCTGAAGCCCCTCATATGATCTACAGAGGACTTTGGGAGTAAGATTTTATTTACGGGAAAAATAAGTCCTTTTCTCCCATACCATTTTTATTATCTGACAATTTTTTTTTAATGTCTGACAAAAAAAAATAACTAGTAGCATTTTATGTGAAGAAATAAATTTCTTTGCAAAGTGTTTATCCATTTTAGGAAATTTGCCAAGCTGTTTTTATTATAAAAGGTAACACTAAAGATCACCCACTTTTAGAAAATATATTGTTTCCAAAAGAATGACGTACATAATAACTGCAGTTTTTTTTATAATCAATTGTAACTGTATCTTGGCCTATTAATCTGTCTCATCTTAATATGCTCCCCTGAGTAGTCAAACACCCCTGTATAGTTCATGTGTGCCTTTTGCATGGTTCTTAAGGTAGAAGCCATGAATATTCATAAAAATGATGGTAAAAATGATCAAGACAGCCTATGTTCTTTTCTGACAAAAGTGTTTGGAGGGGACCAAAATACAGGCAGTGACTATCTGAGATTTAACCACTATCGCTTTGTGGAATCAAAGTGACATTACATCATTTACTACTCTATTGAATGTTAGGAGTCCTGGTGTGGCACTGTAGTATAAGCACTGGACTGCAAGGTTGGTTTGAATAATAGATCAGCGGTTCAAACTCACCAGCTGCTCCTTGGAAACCCTATACAGGGTCACTATGAGTTGGCAATTAATAACACCGCCTAATGTTAATCTTGTCAAGGTAGACTGGGGTTTAGAATTCAGCATGAATTATCCCTAGTGTTGTTTGTTGTTGTTGTTAAGTGCCGTCAAGTCGGTTCTGACCCATAGCGACCCTGTACAGGGTTTCCGAGGAGCTGCTGGTGAGTTTGAACTGCCAACCTTGCAGTTCAAACGGCTTTGCAGTCTGGCGCATTAACCCACAGCAGTTGCTTAGGATTACACAAAAAAGTTGTTTGCCACACCTGATAGATGAAGAACCTAAACCTACTGTCATGAAATCTATTCCAACGCTCACAGCAACAGTACAGAATAGAGCAGAACTTCTCCTAAGGGCTTCTGAGACACAAGTCTTTATAGGGCTAGACTTTCTCCCGTGAAGCAGCTGCTAGGGTTGAAGCTCTAACTTTGCACTTAGCAGCCCAATGCTTAACCCACTGCAAGGCTCCTTAGAGATGACACAAACAAATTTCTTATTTCTACATTAGAAACAGTACCCACACCCTTAGCTATGAAGCAGTACATGAGGAAATGTAAAAGAACACGAACTAGGAAGGCCTTTACATTCTCATTTAGAAATAGTAGAAGAAATTAAGTGATCTACTAAAGAGAGAACAAGGGTTAGGCGCTAGGCTGCTAACTGAAGAAGTTAAGACCTGGCATTCTGCTCCAGTAAAGATTCTTGGTAAGTGCCATCGAGTAAGTTCTAACTCACAGCGACCCTCTATAGGATTTCCGAGAAGTGGCTCGTGGGTTTGAGTTACCAACCTTGCAGTAGCAAGCCCGTGATTCTCCTACAGTGTCAGCCTAAAAAACCCTATGGGACAATTCTACTGTCACATGAGGTTGCCATGAGAGGGATTTTACTCAACAGCACCTAAGAACAGACATTTAAAATATTAAGCTGCATGTTATAAACATCTTTCTCTAAATATTCACAACTGCATTAGATCTAACCTTACGTAACAAATATGTCAGTTAGATTTAATTTTAACCTAAACCAAAATCAGATTCATGGAAATAACATCCAGAAATAAAGAAAATATAGAGCAATTTAACAAAACAAGTTTTTAGGGTGACTCCTGGGTGCCTTGGAAATGCGTAGTGGTTACGAATCGGGCTGCAAACCGCAAAGTCAGCAGTTTGAAACTACCAGTTGCTCCGCGGGAGAAAGATAAGGCTTTCTGCTCCAGTAAAGATTTACAGCCTTGGAAACCCTGTTCACGGTCGCTATGGATTCGAACCAACTCAACAGCACTTAACAATTGGGCTGCTAATCTCATGGTCAGCAGTTTGACACTACCAGCTGTTTCGTGAGATAAAGATGAAGCTTTCTGCTCCTGTAAAGATTTACTGCCTCGGAAACCCTGTACAGGGTCCTTATGAGTCGGAAACGATTCCACGGCACATAACACCACCATAGCATATGGAGTCCTTGTGTGGTGCTGTGGGTTAATGCACCAGACTGCAAAGCCATTTGAACTGTAAGGCTGGCAGTTCAAGCTCATCAGCTGTTCCTCAGAAACCCTATATAGGGTTATGGGTCGAAACTGATAAGGCAGCACTTAACAACCTTAACATAATTCAAATAGTTGATGGAAAAATCCCAGTTTAACTCTCTTTGTCCAGATTTTTTGACGCACCCTCATATAACCTTCCTCCCTAACTCAAAGAACTTTTGATACAATCAGTCTCAAAACCACCATTACCTTTCTAGAAACCACCCAGACAGAGTTTTAACGTGAATTTAAGTTACATATGGAAGGCATTAATTACTGAAGTTGTTACTGAGCAACCCCATGTGACACAGCGGAACTGCCCACTATGGTGTTCAATGCTGTTTGTAGAAGCAGACTGCTAGGGCTTTCTCCAGTGGAATCACTGGGGAGACTTCAAACCCCAACCTTTTGGTTACCAGCCAAGTGCTTAACTGTGGTACCACAAAGGGTGTCTTGTTAAGTGCTATCAAGTTGGTTCCAATGCATAGCAACCCTATATAGGGCTTGTGAGGAGCAGCTGGTGGGTTTGAACCACTGACCTCAGAGTAGCAGGCCCGTGCTTATCCTACAGTACCAGACCAGGACTCCATAGTACTGTTATTTGCCTGTTCTAGAAAAGTCCTTCTATATGTCAGCTAGTGATCCAATTTTAGCCATCTGACAAATCACAAAGATGCAGTTTACCTTTGCTACTGAAATTTTCTCTTCCTTTATTGTCTCTTTATCTTCAAATTTCAAGAGTAGGCTGATATGGGTTTGAGTACTTGATTCCTACTCTTGTTGTTGTTAAGCGCCATGGAGTCAGTTCTGACTCATAGCGACCCTGTATAAGGTTTGAGACCCTGTATAGGGTTTCCGAGGAACAGCTGGTTAACTTGAACCACAGAACTTGCAGTTCAAAATGACTTCGCAGTCCAGCACATTAACCCACAGCACCACATCAGAACTCCTGATTCCTACCCTGGGGGTGGTGGTGGTGGTGTGCTGTGGAGTCGGTTCCAACTCGTAGTGACCCTGCACAGGGTTTCCGAGGCTGTAAATCTTTACGGGAGCTGAAAGCCTCATCTTTCTCCCTCAGTACAGCTGGTAGTCTCGAACTGCTGGCCTTGCAGTTTGCAGCCCGATTCATAACCACTACACTACCAGAGCTCCTTTCCTACCCTACTTGTTGTTGTTAAGTGCCATCGAGTCGATTCCGACCCATAGCGACCCTGTACAGGGTTTCCAAGGCTGTAAATCCTGTCGGGAGTAGAAAGCCTCATCTTTTTCCCGTGAAGCGGCAGGTAGTTTGCAACTGCTGACCTTAAGATTCACAGCCCTAATAAATCACCATTTTATTCACTCACAAATATTTTGAATCAACTGTCTGCAAACTCCACATTTTGAAGAGAGAGAAAATAAAGGAGGCAGTTTCAATGTCCCCAAGTTCAAAGGAACCTCCAGTAAGCTCAATACAGAGTGGAAAGTAAGTTTTATTGACCCTAACTCCTGAATTAAGAATAAAATAGGTAAAACATACACACCTGTTAAACAAAAATGGGAGGCAAATAAAGCAAGAGGAAAATGGGAGGGCAAAAAGGTCAGCATGCCGGACAAGCTGCAAATGGTGCCTAGCAGGTAGCGCAGTGGGTCAAGTAAGCCTGGAGAAGCCTGGAAGGTGGAGAAGAACACTTATCCTAAGAGAACAACCCAGAGACCATGGCAGAGCCCCTCCCATTTAGAAACCAGAGCTGCCAACATTTTAAGTTATCAAAGACTGGAGTCCTGGTGTGGCGCTGGGGGTTAACGCACTGGCGTGCAAAGTCGGTTTGAGCCACAAAGTCAGCGGTTGAAGCTCACCAGCCGCTCCTTGGAAACCCTATACAGGATCGCTGAGTCGGAATCGACTCAGTGGCACGTAACAACATGATCCGTTTTTACAGAGATTGTAGACAAACTGAAGACATGGCACAGAAGACATACTAGGGTCTGCTGAAGGGGGCGGTGCACCTGGCTGAAACCAGCAGTGTTGTCTTTGATGCTAAGCGCTGCGGGTTAATGCGCTGGATTGCAAAGTTGGTTTGAACTGCAAGGTCAGTGGTTCAAGCTCACCAACCACCACTCCTCGGAAACCCTATACAGGGTCGCTATGGATCAGAACCGACTCGACTGCACAATGGGCTGTAGGATAAGCACTGGACCACAAGGTCGACGATTCAAACCCACCAGGTGCTCCCCGGAAACCCTATACAAGATCGCTATGAATCGGAAGTGAGGATGGCACTTACAATCCTGTCCCTCTCAGGCACACACACTGGATCCTTGTGCAAGTCACTTCACCTGATGTTAAATGAGAGTATCGTTCACCTAGGCCTGTTCTTGAGGATGTCAGGTGAAAACTCTTTGGGGTGCAGTGTCTAAGCACTGCTGAGACTTGACAGGGATCTCACCTTGGGGGCTTGTGTTATTTGGGGGCGGGGCGTAAAGGGGAATGTCACTAAGTGATGGGGGGGGGACAACTTTCCCCAAGTATTCATAGCATTTCCTGGTTTTTGAGCCCTGATTATGTGCTAATCGACTGATCTAGACATTTTCCGGCTAGGTTTCACAGCACCCCTATGCAGGTGGCACCATCATCGATCGCAATTCACCAGTGAGGGAAACCACTTAGAATCTTGCACAAGGTCACACGACCTGTATGGAGCAAACCCGCTCTGACTTGGTAGTCAGAAACCATAGAGCTTGAATTTTGAGATGCAAGGTTGAGTCTGCGGGTGACGCCGTAACCGGCCGTGGGCTCGCCCGATGGAAGCCACCCGGAATCCCTGAGTTGGAGGGTCCCTAGGATCACCCGCCCCAGCTGCGTTCCCGCCGAGACCCGGGACGATGTGGAGTCTGTCCAAGGTCACTCCGCGCCACTCTCCCACGTAGCCCGCGCTCCTAGGCAGCTCCCTGGGTCCAAGGCAGGAGGGAGCGAGAAGTTGGACATCCCTCAGCCCCCGGTCGCTCCCTCAGCCCGGCTCACCATTAAGGCCCACGGAGGCGACCAAAGGCCGGCCCGCGGCCTGCCCACTCAGCGACTCCCGGCACAAGAAGGGCTGCTTCAGGTCCAGCAGAGGTGGCTCCGAGGTGGCGGGCACCGAAGCCTGCACCAGGGGCCGCAGCGCCCCCGCCACCCCGCGGGACGTAGCCGACAGAACAGGCGCGAAAGGGCCCGAGCGGGCAGCGACCGACAACATGGCGACAGCTTCTCCTACAGCTTTGCCGGTCACAGGGACGACCTTCTAACCACCGCGCAGGCGCGAAGCGGCGCGCGCGCCGTGACGTCAGCGAGCAGGCGAACCTGGAGGGACGCTGAGTCAGAGGCGGGGCCACGAACCCTCAGTGAGGGCGGGGCGAGGAGCATGAGGAGCTTGTCTCTTAGACTGTCACTTCGGAAGCTTACTGTTCAGTGTCCTGGGATCCACTTAGAGCTAGGAGTCAAGGGCTCACATGAATGTGAACGACTTTGCGAGCTTTTAGGCCTATGAAGACCTAGGGATAATATAGTAAAGTTGCCCTTTAAGCTCCATTTATTTTGTTTCCCTCTTGCTATGGCCATAGCTTGTTCAGTGTGTTAAGCACATTGGCATGCTAACCAAAAGGTCAGTGGTTCTAACCCACAAGCTGTATTCTGCTCTTGTAAAGATTTACCGTCTTGGGAAGTCCTATGGAACAGTGCTACTCTGTCCTATAGCGTTGCTATGAGTTGGACTCAAGGACAGTGAGTTTGGGCTTGGGTTTACGGCACTGAGCTCAGGGAGTTGCAGAGTTGCAGTATCTGCTGAAAACACTGTGACAGTAACCATCTCAGCGCGTGTATACTCCCAATGCTTGAGTTTACAGCTATAGCAACAGGGAAGAAATATCCAGGCATAAGTGGGTCCCTGAATAGTTTCAACTGTGTTGTTCAAAGGTCAACTGTAATAAATGATGAGTTTAAATGGAGATAATGAGTCGGAACCAACTCCACTGCGCTTAACAACAACAACATAGGATTATTATCCAGTTTGACTAAAGTATGCCTACCCAATCCATGGGTTTTTTTTTTTCCAATTCATACGCATGTGAAAGTTGGGCAATTAATAAGGAAGACATAGAAGAAATGATGCATTTGAGTCATGGTGTTAAAAAATAAAATTAAAAGTGCTATGGACTGCCAGAAGAATAGATCTGTGTTGGAAGAAGTACAGTCAGAATGCTCCTTAGATGTCAGGATGGCAAGACTTTGTCATATTTTAGACATATTATCAGGAGGGACCAGTCCTTGGAGAAGGATATTGTGGTTGGTAAAGTGGAGGGTCAGTGAGAAAGAGGAAGAACCCCAAGCAATTGGACTCAATAGTAACAACAATTGTGGGGTGGTACAGGACCAAGCAGAATTTCGTTTTGTTGTGCATAGGGTTGCTATTGGTTGGAGTCAACCTGACAGCACCTAACAACAGGCACTTAAAAAACAAAATAAACAACAACAATAAAATGACAGCCTTTATGCAAATCTTAATAATAATAGCAACAATAACAATGTTTGTGTTTGCCATCTGCTAGTTTCTGACTCATGGCAAAGCCAGGAACAGCACAACAAAATGTTGGCAGTACCTGTGCACACCTTGTATGCACAAGTTCATTTTCGTAGCCATTTTGTATTTTGAGTGCCATTCAACCTTGAGGTTCATCTTCCAACGCTTTATCAGACTATTCTGTGGTGATCTATAAGGTTTTCATTGGTTAATTTTCAGAAGTAAAACCCCAGGACTTTCTTCTTAGTCTGGAAGCTCAGCTGAAACTTGTTTATCATGAGTGACATAGTATCCAGCATCGTAGCAACATCCGAGCCCCCAGAGTACAAAAGCTCACAGATGGGTGATAATAACATAATGATCTGAGCTTATATTTAGTCAACATTTAGCATATACTCCTGGTATGGCACTGTAAGATCAGCACTGGACTTTGAGCCACAAAGTCAGCAGTTCAAACCCACCAGCTGCTCCTCAGAAACCCTATACAAGGACGCTAAGAGTCAGAACTGAGCCGATGACCCTTAACAACAATATACTAGGGGTCCTAGTGTGGAGCTGTAGGATAAGCACTGGACTGCTAACCACAAAGCAGGCTGTTCAAACTCACCAGCTGCTCCTTAGAAACACTGTTAGGGTCACTATGGATCAGAAATGCCTTGCCAGCACTTAACAACAGCGTATATTAGATGCTGTGCTTTACCTGCAATCCTTTCATCCTATAATCAAAGTCCCTAAGAAATGGCTGGGAAGCACAGAGGCTCTGTAGGATAAGCACTGGACTGTGAACCGAAGCCCACCAGCACTTAACAACAACAACAGTGCTTTTATAAGGAGGTAGCATCATCATGGTCCCATTTTGCAGATAAGGAAACTGAGGACTAGGAAAGTTAGGACACTTACCCAGGCAGCAGAAGTCATACACAACACAGAACAATGACCAGCAAACTTCAACAGTTCAGACACCCAGCGCCACCACATGTCTGTCATACCTGTGCACTGCTTACATGGAGAATTCCTTAATACTCCCATTAACTCATTTTATTTTAAAGCTTTTAGTGTGAATTGAGTGATAGTTTGCATGGCAGAACATCGGTTTGGCACTCAACCAATCATAATTTGTTTCATTGCAATGATTATAATCCCCTCCATATACCATCGATTAACAATATTTGCCTCTATTCTCTCTCTTTTTTTTTTATGTACACAAAAACATGCAGTAATATATAACCATTTAAACACATTAACTCATTTTTGATGTAAATAAATATACAACTTAGTCTCACTATGCTAATTGGAATACTAGTACAGATGAAAAATAAATGTCAACATAAATACCACAACACAAAAGTACACAATGTTATTAAATCATCTCTAGATTCAGTTGCCTGGTAAGGGCTTTAAATGCAAAGTCCCAAAAGAGGAGATTAGAGAGGATTTAAAGGTATGTCAGTAAGGAGCTCTGGTAGAGTAGTGGTTATGAATCAGGTTGCAAACCTTAAGGTCAGCAGTTCGAAACTACCAGCTGTTCCGCAGGAGAAAGATGAGGCTTTCTGCTCCCGTAAAGATTTTCAGCCTTGGAAACCCTGTGCAGGGTCACTATGAGTCAAAAATGACTCCATGGCACATAACCACCACCAGTACCAAACTGAGACTTTGTCGTTGGTGAATTCACCAGGCTTTTAAAGAAGTAAAAAGGGAGGATCTTTCTCACCAAGTACAGAAAGTGATTTAGTATCAGAAACAGTGGTATGACAGTTAAGAGCACAGAATCAAGACACCGTAAGCTTCACTGCTACCCCGTCCTGTTCTAGGCAAATAATTCCTATAACTCTCAGTTACATGACTGGTGAAATACTGATAATAATAATAGTTATTTCACGTTGTTGTTGTTGCTAAGTGCTTTAAGTTGGTTCTGACTCATATCAACCTGTATAGGACTTCTGAGGCTGTAAATCTTTTCAGGAGCAGAAAACTTCATCTTTCTCCCACAGAGTGGCTGGCGGGCTGCGGTTCACAGTCCAATGCTTATCCTACAGAGCCTCTGTACTTCCCAGCCATTTCTTAGGGATTTTGATTATAGGATGAACGGATTGCAGGGAAACAAAACAGCACATCTAATATACGCTGTTGTTAAGTGCTGGCAAGGCAATTCTGATTCATAGTGACCCTAACAGGGTTTCTGAGGAGCAGCTGGTGAGTTTGAACTGCCTACTTTGTGGTTAGCAGTCCAGTGCTTATCCTAAAGCTCCACACCAGGGCTCTTAGTATATTGTTGTTCAGTGCCATCCACTCGGTTCTAGCCCATAGTGACCCTATATAAGGGTTTCTGAAGAGCAGCTGGTGGGTTTGAACAGCCGACCTTTAAGTTAGCAGTCCAGAGCTTATCCTATAGCAGTACATCAGCACTCTATTTGGTGGTTCTTTCTCTTTTTTTTTTAAATTTAAGCATCTCTTTCCTCATCAGGGGCTATAGCTTATCAGGATCATCTTATTCTTTGTTGATGCGGCATCTTAAAGGACTCTGGAGCCAGACATCCTGCTTTATGATGAGCTCTGCTACTTCATACTTGTGTGATTTTGGACAAGCTATTCACATCAGTCGAGAGTCATGTCCCTTCATTGTAAAATCAGATTGTTGTGATGATGACGAGAAATAATGCACAGGAAGTACTTAGCAAAGTGTGTGTTTGGTGATGGTGTCGTTATTAAGTGCTGCCATGTTGGTTCTGACACAGCGACTCTGTATAGATAGGGTTTCAAGGCATGACTGGTGAGTTTGAACTGCCGACCTTGTGATTCAAATCCTGCACCACCACACCAGGTACACACCCAGAACTTTATGTTATTTTTGTGAATCAATGGGCTTGAGAATAGAAATCCTTGGTAAAATTCTTAGTTCCTGGAAGTCTGAAAAGCAATGTGTGCATGTGAACATGGCAGCAGGCAGCCTTTGTTTAAACAAGCTGATGGTTTGTTTAAGAAGAGGCCAGAGATCAGGACTGCACACTCTCTCTCTCTCTCTGCTATGTTTGTCCTATACACCTCTTGGTCTGGCCTACAATGTGATTCAACCCTCAGAATTATTTGCTAGCCTTTACAGATTGTGATTAATCTCATACAAACTGTAGTATATAAAATAATGCCTCCTCCCCGCTCACCCCATGCCCCAATCCCCAGACACTATAAATATGTTTTCTTTCATGGCAAAAAGAACTTTGCAGAATCATTCCTACCCCCTCCACACATAGAGTAGACAGGGATGGGCAACTTGGACATTGGCTAATCAAAATGGGGGTGGGGGGAGCCTACAAAGGCAAGACGTGACTGGCTTACAAGCTTTCAAGACGGAACCTAGAGCGAGGGAGCCTGGAGGAAGGTAGAATCTCCAGTGAGTAGTATCCAATCTGTCTAGGCGGAGCTGATGAAATGAAATACAGATGAGTCTCTTGTGATACAATAGTGAATAACTGTTCTCAGGACTGGTTGTGAGGGTTGGAAATGTAAAGGTAGACATTTTACAGCAAGGAAGGGAGTGATTAACTTTCCAGTCTAGGAGTGGAGGTCCCTAGGACCAGCAACGGAGAAGAGCTGAAAGCGGGACCCTACCCAGAGAAGCAGCGATGCCTGAGATGGAGGCAGAGACGACTATGTGGAGTGATGGAGCAGTTGGGGACTTTAGATCCAGATAGGGAGAGTGACTTTGTGCTGAAGACTGGGGTGGGGGGGTTGGATGTAGGGGGCAGGCTTGCAGGGCATATACCCTTTGGTTGGTTGTTGATGC